AGTATAATGATGACAGAAGTTGAGACATATCATTAATACTGACTTGGTCATTCAAGTTATAATTAAATTGCGTACTCCTAGCTACAAAGTGTCACCCAAGGGAAAAAAAAAATTTCCCTCCCTTGTCTCATACTCTCAGCCCATGCAAGTTAGCTTCGCTAATAAGAAAAGAAACCAAAGCATGTTAGGCCACTATAACATTAGACATATAGTCAACCAAACTGACCCTACATTAACTGTACTCTAACATACTTAATAAATCTTGCGGTTTTCTATTCTTAATGATTTTTCTGAATGTACCAAGAATTGAGATCTCAACTTCCTATATAAATATTGGTTGTTGGAATTGGCAAGAGAGTTGAACTATAACAACCTAAACATTCTTCATGGGGTTAATTATTAGGTGAAAAGCTTAACACTAACTTACCCTTCTCTAACCTAACAGACTTCATCATCCTTAAACTGGATGAAATTGGGATTTTGTACACAACATAAACTAATTGTGCTAGATTTTCTTATATCGATCTCCAGCAAAGAACCTCGTCCACAATCTCATGTGTATTGTAGAGTTTCGATGTCGTCTATATGTCTGGCTCAGAAGCCTGACTCTTCAGCCACTGTTTCCTCAGATTTGCACCACCAAGGACATAAGGGGAACTTGCCACAGTTCTTCTCCTCAATCACTCACAAAGGGTGAAGGGATCGCACAAAGCAATAGAGCACAAAGCTCAAGATCTCGTCGCCATAGCTTCTTTTCTCTTCCCGAGCTACTACCAGCTGCCCTTCGACTTAAATAGAGAAGGGGGTAGCCGACACGGGAGAGATAGGCTAGGGTTTCGAAAGGTAGGAGCAGACCTATAGGGATGGGAGATGAGACTCAAAGTGACAGCCGATAGGACAAAGGGATGGGCAAGGGAATAAAGAGGTGGGAACTGGGCCTCTTTAGCAAATGGGCCAGCAGCTTTGGGCCAATAAAATAGCAACAATCTCCACCATTGGCCCAAGGTAGTGCACAGAGGAAAAACACGAAACTGCAGGACTCATCATCGCCAAAATATTACTTGTATGATCACAAAGAAGATACAAGCAATGGAAGAGAATACACAAAGGAAACTCAGATGACACAAATCGGGGCAAGATCACCAAGCATGACAAGTCTACAAAGGACCAAACTCTACCAAACGGTCATCGAGTTCAAAGGGAAAAAATCACAAAACTACTAACAAGCACAAAGCAAGTTAATAGGCCACAACAACAACACACAAAGCAAAGGAAAATTACCCAAAGTCAAAATTCAAGATTTTTTGACACGAGATAAAATTTTCAGCAGGCAAACACTTAGTACCCATGTCAGCCGGATTAAATTCTGAGGGAATTTTCTCTAACTTGACAATGCCCTTTTCAACTATATCCCGAATGTAATAAAATCTAACATCAATATGTTTCGTTCTATCATGAAAAACAGGATTTTTGCAAAGTTGAATAGCAGATTGACTATCAGAAAATACAACCATATTTTTATCAAGAAAACTAATTTCAGATATAAGGCCTCTAAGCCAAATAGCTTCTTTAAAAGCTTCAGTGACAGTAACATACTCAAATTCAGTAGTAGATAAAGCAACAATGGGTTACAGTTGGGATTTTCAACTTATGCAAGAGCCACACAAAGTAAACACATAGGAAGTGGTAGATTTTCTATTATTTCTATCATTTGCATAATTAGAATTTACATAGCCAACTAGTTTAACACCTTCAGAACACTTAGAGAAGGTTAATCCTACATCCACAGAGGATTTTAAATCTTAAAAGCCATTTTAAGGCATTCTAATGAGGCATACCAGGATTTGACATATATCTACTCAAGCAACTAACCGTATATGCAATGTCAGGCCTAGTACTAACCATGAGATACATGACCGATCCCATAGCATTCGAATATGGCACCTTCTTCATATTATTTATTTCAGTTTTAGTCTTGGGGGACTGATCCTTGCTTAACACAAAATGGAAAGCAAGAGGCACATTCACAGATTTGGCATCAGACATAGCGAATTTACTCAAAAGTT